GTTGAACTTGTCATTGTTTATGGGAGGATTTTCTAGTACATTAGTATGTAAATATCTATTACTACTATTATTTTATTGACTATTTTTAGTTACAAGTTTGTGGTCCCAGTATGATTAATTTGGCATCAAACTTGGCTTGCACCTCCCTTTTACTATTAGGCAGGATGTAACAGCTTACTAGAGCCTTTCTCCATTGTAATTTTCGTAATTTGCCCAATTATAGGTTTATGATATTGACCTCTAATCTTTCAACCATTCGATAATGTCCTTTCCCAAAAGCCAGACCTAAGTTTTTCCATAATCCTGTCTTTTAACACTATTTACTCTAAAGTATATCTAAAGGAATCTCAGCAGAACAATACAAAAAAGAATTTAGGAAAATGATTAAAGCATTAATCTGTCTATATTTTCATTAAGTCTATATTTTCATTAATGGGTTGCTCATGTTTTCCTGAGCCGAAAGTCTATTGGAAACAGCCTCTGTATTCTCACAAGGTAGGGGTAAGGTCTGCGTACACACTACCCTCCCTATACCCCACGGTGTGGGATAATACTGGGTATGTTGTTGTTATTGTTGTTGATTAAAGCATTAAATCACTAACCAAATGCTGAAAAATATTTTTCTGAAACTTCTAATTCTATCCTTAATGAGAAGTTTTTATAACCACACAAATACTCTGAACCCCATTTTAACTTGTTTAGTACCACAAATTCCAAAAGTCTTCATTTTTTTCTTAAACTCCGTGCCCAATCAAACAGATTCACATAAATTGGAATGGAGGAAGTAGCTAATCTGATGGAATAGTTGGTTTCTGGAAGAAGAGTTAGTCGTAAGCCGATGAATCTTGAGATTGGTATAAATTTGACAAGTCCGATGTATTAAACTCTGTGGACAACCTCATGAGCTGTTTTCTGGTGTGTAATTTTCCATTTTACAATTTCAGGGGAAAAAATATCACCAATAGAAGTGGATGCCGTCCTTGTTTCTCATCCTGATATTGCTCAGGCTGTTGCTTTCGGGGTTCCTGATGACAAATATGGTGAAGAGGTAAGAAAATGACCCCAATTCTTTTATGTCTCATTTTCCTACTTGCATAAATGATGGGACTTCATTTGTTTGTTTCAATCTATATGCATTTCACGAACGAGCGATGTGGACTTTTTATTTTCTGTTAGACGTCTATTTTTCGTGTGGGGTTAATATTTACTGGTGTCTAATTTAGTTGAATCATTTTCACAGATAAACTGTGCAGTTATTCCACGAGAAGGGTCAAAGATAGATGAAGCAGAGGTCATGGGATTCTGCAAGAAAAATCTGGCAGCTTTTAAGGTCCCAAAAAAGGTGTTTATGACTGATTCTCTACCAAAAACTGCTACTGGAAAAATTCAACGACGACTTGTAGCTGAGCACTTTCTTGCACAAATTTCAACTGCTAAAGTGCACAAGTTTGGAGCTTAAAAATATACTCCTACTTGGGTCTCTGCAATTGCTTACCCAAAAAAAAAAAACGAGAATCACAATTAGTGCCTCTAGATCTTAATTGTGGCACAACTAAATTGTCTATCTACTAAAAAGTTTTTTTTTCAGGCTACTAAAAATATTGTTAGACTACAAAATTTTCGGGGCGTTATTTTACAATCGTAGGCTATTGTTTTTGGTAGAAGTATTAGAAGTTCTTTTGTTTGTAGAAGTGACTATTAAACAGTGATATTTTTACAATAAATTGGTTCTGGTCTTTTAACGCAATTGTTGTTATCAGTAATTCTACGTTGTCTCCTTAAGCAGCAATTCCATAATATTTGATAGTACAAAGTTTCATTAGCAGACTCGAATGGAGATGACTAGCCAACAATAAATGTATTCAAGTAACCAACTCTAATGGAAATGACTAGCCACCACAGATATGTATTTGCGTTAACTAAGTAGTAGATTTAATTTAGGGACGGCAGTGGGGGGTGCGGGGCGGGTGCGGCAAAACCCACAAAAATTTCAACTCGCCCCGCCACGGCCCGCATAGCTATTTTTCTATTTTCAAACCGTCCCGCCCTGCTTAAGTTTTTTTTTCTTCTTTTTTCTTTTATTTTTTTCTCTAAAACAAATTAGTTTGACATTTTATTTTTTTTATATGCTCTACCAATTGATCTCATTAGTAGTAACATAATTTTCCAAATGTATAAAGCTAATCATGCACTATCCATGAAATAAGAGAGACAAGATTTTATCACCCAATCAGTCAGTTGGCATATGAATAATACATTGGTTTTCAATTTTGCGAGAAATTAAAAAATAGCCAGATTCACAAATATTCATTCAAAAATAGCCACAGTTTCAAAAGCCATCGAAATTTAGCCACTTTTCATGTAAAGATAAATCTAAACGAAAACACTGTTCAAAATCCGAAAAATACTCCAACATAATATACTGGAATTCCAGTATAATATACTGGAGCCAGCAAAGTATACCGGTCCAGCATAATATGCTAGAAGTTCATACACAGACGCACCGAACTCCAGTATATTATGCTGGACCGGTCTCTGTTGCAGCAAAATAGTGGCTATTTTTCAATGACTTGGCAAACGCTGGCTACTTTTGAATGACCAGTCCGAAAACTGGCTAGCCCATGCTATTTTAACATATTTAAATACTATCAACAAAATAAAGCTGAAACAAAATAAATCAAGCTTACAAATCATCCTTTTTAACAGTTCATAATATATTTCACTGTCACGATTCCCGATATGAACATACCAATATAGTAACAATTATCATTTTTAAATATCTTGAAAGCAAAATAATTACAAAAACAGAATGCTTTTCACAGAAAGAAACCGACAGTTAAATTGCTAGTCAATAAGAATGCAAAGTTGTAGTTGAAATGATCACTTTGTTTTAGAAAAGTTCATAATTCAAAAGCCGACCCGCCTTGAACCCGCATTAAACCTGTAACCCGTCCTGCTTTAATTTTTTTTAAACTATTTTAATCCGCCCCGCACCCGCATAAGAGTAAACCCATCCTGCATCAAACAATACCTGCTCCGCTCAGCACCGCCCCGCCCCATTGCCGTCCCTTGAGTAGAAGAATGGGTTACACCGACACAGCTTTATACAGTTCAGCTTTTCCACGCGAGTGTAGGTACAGTAGGGAGTAACAACCTTCTAGCTAATATAACCAGCTTTTCTAAGGGGGAATTACGTACAAATACAACTCCCACATATACATTGCAACTATGTGGCCTATATTTAACTTTGCAAAACTGTAGCCCAAAAATAATAGGCTAAGATTCAACATTCAATTCCAAATAGGTTCTCGAAACTATTATTCAATTTTTTTTTAAATGTTCAAGATTTTTATCTAGTTTTCGAATCTGTAATGGTCACTCAAATATTAGTTCAACAAACCAAATACATTTGGGTGGTAAAAAATTAGATTTTAAAGATAATCCACCATTGTTGAACACGCTTAAATAAGTGAGTTTAAATTTCAAATATGATTTTTTATAAATTTGGAGTGGATGTTGTTTAGACTTGTTAGAAATAGTATAAGGAGGTTATATACAAAATTTAAAGTCATTTAGTAAAGATTTAGTCTGGTCCACCATTGTTGAACAAGCTTAAATAAGTATATTTATATTTCGAATTTGGTTTTAGTGGGTTTTGTTTAGACTTGTTAGAAATAGTATAAGGAGATTGTATACGAAATTTGAAGTCATTTAATGGAGATTTAAAATGGTTTTGAAAAAAAATTGCAATTGAAAATCGTGAAATAAATTCGTATACAGACATTTGTATAAAGGTGTAAAAAGTGAATAATAGTGTATACAAGGTATTTATACAATATTATACATCATTATACAAAAACTGACTTTGTCTTCTTCCTAGCGTCTTTTCTGAAATTTAACTCAAATTTTGCTCAAATTTACTCCAAATTTTAATTTTGAACTCCTTCTATATTTTTAATTAATTGGAACAACACCCAATCCAAACAACTAACAAATTAAAAAAATCCTATTTTTAAAAGCGAAGCTTTGAATGGCCTTCAATGGTGGGACTTCTATTCTTCAATTTATTACATTCACACGCATACATTGCAACTAGGTAATACAGTTATAACTTGGCAACTCTGTAACCAAAAGAGAATAGGCCAAGATTTTAAACTAATGAATTTTTTCCACACAATCAACTACTATTTTCACACAAAGGTGGCAGAAAATGCAAAGCAGAAACTGCAGACAACTAAAAATTAGCTAGCTTCCAATAATTTCTTTTCAATCATGTACACATTGGGCTAAGCCGGGTAAAGATTTGAAATATTGGCCAATTTGCGTTATGTGGTCCGGCGAAGTGATTCTAAATGTAATTGTTCCCTTTTCTAAGCAAGTATACACTGTTAAAATATCATGGTATAGCCAGTTTTCACACTGGTCAATGAAAAATAGCCAGCGTTTATCAAGTCAATGAAAAATAGCCACTATTTTGCTGCAACAGGGACCGGTCCAGTATAATATACGGGAGTTCTAGTGCATTTGTGTACGAACTCCAGCATATTATGCTGGACCGGTACACTTAGCTAACTCCTGTAAAATTTGCGGGAGACTGGAGCACCAGTGCTCCAAACTCCAGTATATTATACTGGACAATTATACTTGCTGGAACTCCCGTAAAATTTGCGGGAGTTCCAACATAGTTATCCTGGAACTCCCGTAAAATTTGCGGGCGTATTTTTCCGGATTTTGAACAGTGTTTTCGCTCAAATTTAAAGTGGCTAAATTTCGATGACTTTTGAAACTTGGCTATTTTTCAACGACCAGTGATAAATCTGGCTATTTTTGAATTTCTCCCGTATACACTACTACATGACTATGGTTAGCCCAACAATTAGTGGAGCAACAATAAAACGCTGGGCTTGTCAAATGACAAATTCCAACAGAACTCAATGTAGCCTGCGGGCTTGCATTTTAGCACTTGTAATTTGATTAAAAAGATAATGGACACTAATCAGTCAAAATTAAAGCACAAAACATATATTGCTTAAGAAATAAGCCATCTTCCCCTTCCAAGATATTTCAAATCAAGGACCTAAACATGTTATCCATAAGATTTCAATATACTAATAGGTATGTATAGCAGTATTAACTACAACGCAAAGGAATCAGTAACTGTGCCACCACGGTGGCCAAACAGCATAGCACTCCAATATCCCAAACACAAATAGAAAACTTGACAGCCACTACTACATAACTGCACTGGATATACTTCACAACTTGAGTTCCTTAAGCTTCTTGATGAACTTCCTCCTCATCTTCATAGTCATAACCTTCCTCCTCAGCTGTTGCGTCTTGATATTGCTGGTACTCAGAAACTAAATCATTCATGTTGCTTTCAGCCTCAGTAAACTCCATTTCATCCATCCCTTCTCCAGTGTACCAATGCAAGAAAGCCTTTCTGCGGAACATAGCTGTGAACTGCTCACTAACCCTGCGGAACATCTCCTGAATTGAGGTGGAATTACCAATGAAAGTTGAGGCCATCTTCAGACCAGTTGGAGGGATGTCACATACTGTTGACTTTACGTTGTTAGGGATCCACTCCACAAAATATGAAGAGTTCTTGTTCTGCACATTTATCATCTGTTCGTCAACTTCCTTGGTGCTCATTTTTCCACGAAACATAGCTGAAGCAGTCAAATATCGACCATGACGAGGATCAGCAGCGCACATCATATTTTTTGCATCCCACATCTGCTGTGTTAGCTCTGGAACAGTCAAGGCCCGATATTGTTGCGACCCACGAGATGTGAGTGGAGCAAATCCGACCATGAAGAAATGCAACCGGGGGAATGGGATGAGGTTAACAGCAAGCTTGCGGAGATCAGAGTTGAGTTGACCAGGGAAGCGGAGACAGCAAGTTACACCACTCATGGTGGCAGAAATCAAATGGTTTAGGTCTCCAACTGAGGCAAATTCATCCATCAGTAAATAAATCAACAAAATCCACTGTATGAAGTATATTAATAACAATGGTACATGCAGTAGAATGCATGCACCAAATTAGGGGGGCTGAGTACGATTTTAAAATGGAAGAAAAGGAAAACGATGGCAAGCACTAATATGTAGTGATCATACAACCAGAATCATACACAATCAAAAACTTTTGCACATAATATTGACTGAAAAGGATAGCAAAGATTCTAAATACAATTAGATAACCAACTGAAAATGATACTTCAAATCAACTTTCCGATAAATGAGAAGTTTAGAAACATATAATATGTTCAGCACATACATAAATGAATGGCACCCTATCCTTCCCCAGCTCATCTCAAATTTAATGGAGTATTTTAAGTCAAAATAGATGATAAAACTAACCCAAGGTGCATGAAATATATGAAAATATAGCACACAAGTATCAGGTTGCATTAGAAAAAGAGCAGGTAACTTTAAAAAGGGATAACTTACAGCTCGGTGTAGTAAGTTTGAGAGTGCGGAAGCAAATGTCATAAAGAGCTTCATTATCCAACACCATACACTCATCAGCATTCTCAACAAGCTGGTGAACAGAGAGAGTAGCATTATAGGGCTCAACAACTGTGTCTGAAACCTTGGGGGAAGGGAAAACAGAGAAGGTAAGCATCATTCTATCTGGGTACTCCTCCCTGATCTTTGAAATAAGGAGAGTTCCCATTCCTGATCCAGTTCCACCTCCCAAAGAGTGACAAACCTGGAAACCTGAAATCAAAAACAAAGTCCAAATTCATTTGTTTAGCATATCAGATTACTCAATAGTGGACAAGGTATTTACTTCAAGCACAAAATGCATTCACAAGATGTAAGCTAAAGGTAGCCAGCCCAACCTTTTATTCATTTTAAAGGTCTAAATACCCAATCTATTTTAGATCAACGACCCATGCAAGCAGTCTGAATTTATAAAACCCAAAGCGCATTCCCATTACATAGTCATAGACCTTCTTCATTTGACTTAATTCTGGACCAAAAATAAGGCATTTATACCAAACAAATAGATTTAAGCCATTGCAGCAACCATCACATAGTCATTAAGAGAATAGTTGAGTTGCTCAAAACAAGCTAAATAAATAACTAACAAAATAAGAACAGATACGTCCTGAATTACAGTGTTAAGTAACATATCACTCAATTATTCCCCATAACTAGCGACTTAGCCAAAATAGACACAAATTTTCTTACCACGATGAAAGACGTTTTTCAGTAAAAACTGAAATACAAACACATTGAACCTTCATATGCGCTAATATATAAGAAACCTACGTTAAATCAAAGCACTCATTCAAACAGGTACCGTAACTCTTATATTAAAAATACACTCCAAAGGATGCACGATAAACAATCTATTTTAAATTACGAAAAATAAATAATCATAACAAAAACACCAGAATGACAGTGGTAAGTAACATATCACTTGATTATTTGTCATAATAACAAGCGGTTTCTCCAAATAAATACAAAAAAATTCCTAATCAATCAATTAAAGAGATTAATTTAGTAAAATCGGAATTAAAGCGCTTAACAAGACAATTAAATAGTGAAACTGAGGAGAAATATGAAGTACCTTGTAAACAGTCACAGTTTTCAGCCTCCTTCCTCACAACATCGAGAACCGAATCAATAAGCTCGGCTCCCTCAGTGTAGTGACCCTTGGCCCAGTTATTACCGGCACCAGACTGTCCAAAAACAAAGTTATCGGGCCGGAAAATCTGACCATATGGCCCAGATCTGACACTATCCATAGTTCCAGGCTCCAAATCCATGAGGACGGCGCGTGGAACAAACCTTCCACAACTCGCTTCGTTATAGTAAACATTCAACCGCTCCAGTTGAAGATCATTGTCTCCTGCATACCTTCCGGTGGAATCAATGCCGTGTTCGGCACAGATAACTTCCCAAAACTTGGCTCCGATTTGGTTCCCGCACTGGCCTCCTTGAATATGCAAAATCTCACGCATTTTTGCTGATGAAATTTGAATTGATTTTGGATTTTTCTGTGCTTTTGTTTTTTAGGAGTGAGGAAAGTGAGGGTTTTAGTGGTGTAGAGAGAATAATTGAATTTGGGAAATGCAGCAGAGAAGGGGGAGAGTTTATATATTGGAAAGCCGCGAGTAAACGGGAGCTTTTTCGCCGTTAACTGTAACGGTGGTGGAAACGTTTCGATTTAGTGGGAATTTTTGAATTTTGAAATGTAACGAAAATTTTGGGGTGGGTTGGGATATCGTAATCACCGTACGTGTATAGTTAGTTGTACATAGCAGTGATATGAATGTGAAAGGTGGCACTGGTACGTAATTGAGAGGAGACATGTCTCATGATGCTTCTTTTTTTCCATATTCTGCAGATATTTTGCTAGTTTTGGAACTATACATTTTTATTTAACATGATTCTTTCGTAAATGTTTTGATGTTTGTAATTCTAGATAAATTGTAGTAATTCATTATCATCCCCCAAATTTTCTTTAAAAATCAAACTCATCCCCCAACTTTGAACAATTATCATTTTGCTCTTCATATCAAAGGTGACTTCTTAAAACATCTATTTTACCCTCTAAAATTATTATCTCTTATTTTTATTCTTCAATATAATGATATTTTCTTATTTTAATTAATGTTATCGACTTACCTATAGAAAAATTTTAAAAAGTTTTTTGAAACCAAAAAGAGTAAGAAGGGGTAGTCAAGCATATTAGTTAATGACGTTCAATAGTGAAAAAAATTAGAAAAATAAAAAATTACAATAAATAATTTACTCGTATGAGTAATTTTATTAATAGCAAACTCAATCTATTCACAAATTTGAGAACAACGAAGGATAATGCTGACGAGGATGGTGGACCAATATAGAGACAAAGTCGAGGCAGCCCAGTACCGCTTGAAAAACATCATTGAGTATGAAAAGCGGCAGTCCCGAAGGGAGGCCCTCGAGGAGGTTCATGCTCGGGGTTTTGATTTGTCGACCGAGATCGAGAACGCCAAGAAGCTCGAGGCCGAGGCCAAGAAATTGGCTTACCCCAAGGAAGAGGAAGATTCCGAGGGTGATGGTCCCGGTGATGAGGCATCCCCCGGTGAAGGCCAGTCACTTAGACGCTTCACAGATGTTTTTGTTTTTTTGTATTACCTTCCTTTTTTTGAGGCTGTTTGGCTTTTGTAAAAATTTGTATCGAGGCCGTTTGGCCCTTGTAAGAAATCTTTTGATATACATGTAAGGCTTTTTCTCTTCAACAATTTATGAGTTTTTTCTTTGCTTTATTATTTATATTTGCAAAGAACGAAATGCCTTAGCACGAAATAGTTAGGGCATGTTTGGAGGTTCGAACAAGCCTTGCCTTGAACATTATTTTGTTTAAGGCATTGTGGGGGTTTGCTATGACCGAAAATCTTTTCCCAAAGTACTTATAATTTTTTAGATTATAGTTTTCCAAGGGTAGCATTTAGAGCCGGCTAAGAAATTTTAAGGCTTGTTTTTTCTTACAGATCTCGGACGTTTCCGAGCCATTTTCATATGGCTGTAGACTTTTTAGTTCGGGTGTTGCTCAGTGGGCTTGTTATCCTGAGTTATCCGGAATAACAGTCCCCGAATGGGATGGCCGTAGCCTTTAAAGTTCGGGCACTGCCTAATAATCTTGTGCCCCGGGGCTCTGATAGCCCGAGCCGTCTGAGTTTGTCTTTAGACCGAAGTCCCCGAGTGGGAGTGATCGTTTAAACTCGGATTAAGGCGGACCTTGGGCTCGATACCTTTAGGGGATCGGATGTAGGAAATTCCTTAAGAAATGAAAAAAGAAAAAATTTAAAGGGACAATATATTTATCCGCAAGATAGACACTTCTTTTTATTCTTGTGCGTAATAGTTACACATGTGTACAAGCTTTGTGCCAGGGCTCAAGCAGTCTATGCGGGCACGGCTTATTTGACTGTTTGTTCGTTACAGTAAATCCTATTGATTGAGCCGAGACCTTTCAATCACAAAGTCTCTTCCTTGCTAAAGCCGTTATCTGAGGGTAATGCCCCCAGTGTCCGAGGTTGATCTTAGAGAAGCCTCAGATACTGTTGATGTGATCTTTGACACCGATTCATGATCGGCCTTCGATTCTAAGTTAGCACAATTCACTGTTGCCTCGTTAAAAACCTTGCTAGAAAATTCATTTGTGACAAAACTGGTTTAAGGAGAAAAGAGTGCAATGCGTACTTTCAGGCCTAAAAATTGTATCGTTCCTTGTTGGTTACCTGCAAGTGTTAGGTCAAAAGTAAGTAAAAGGAATGAATGGGGTCGTACCTTAGCAGTAGTATCGCTTTACGTGAGTTACATTCCAGTTATTTGGTAGTCGTTCAGCGTTCATTGCTCTGAGTTTGTACGATCCTTTTCCGGTGATCTCGATTATTTGATATGGCCCTTCCTAGTTCGGTCCCAATTTCCCCTCGTTCGTATTTCGGGTGCTTAGTGTGACCCTTCTTAACACTAAGTCCCCGATATTGAAGTATCGAAGGTTGGCCCTTTGATTGTCATATCTCTCGATCCGTTGTTTTTGGGCGGCCAACCGGACAAGGGCGGCTTCGCGTCTTTTATCTAATAGCTCCAAGCTCGTATTCATGGCATCGTCATTCGATTCCTTGGTTGCGTATCGGAACCTGAGACTTGGTTCTCTGACTTCGACCGGTATTTGAGATTTGGCGTTGTAAACCAACAAGAATGGGGTGGCCCCGGTACTAGACTTCGAGGTCGTACGGTATGCCCATAGGACTTCGGGCAGGATTTCCTTCCATTTTCCTTTGGCGTCGGTTAACCTCTTTTTGAGGTTTTGGAGTATGGTCTTGTTGGTCGATTCTACTTGTCCGTTCCCACTAAGGTGGTAGGATATTGATAGGATCCTTTTGATCTTATGGTCTTTAAGAAACTTGCTTACTTTTCTACCGATGAATTGTTTCCCGTTGTCGCACACGATCTCGGCCAGCATTCCGAATCGGCATATGATATGGTCCCAAATGAATTTGATGACTTCCTTCTCCCTGACCTCTCGTATGCCTGGGCTTCCACCCACTTAGGAAAATAGTCAGTCATGAATAATATAAATTGAGACTTATCGGGTGCCAATGGGAGGGGGCCAACGATATCCATTCCCCACTTCATGAACGGCCATGGTGACAAAACCGAATGCAGCAGCTCCCTGGGTTGATGAATCATCGGAGCATGTCTTTGGCATTCATTATATTTTCGTACGAACTCCTTTGCGTCCTTTTCCATGTTGATCCAGCAGTTGCCAACTCTTATTACCTTTCGAACTAATAATTCGGCGCCTGCATGATTTCTGCAGGTGCCCTCATGAACTTCCCTCAGAACGTATTCGGTATCTCCTGGTCCTAGACATATTGCTAGTGGACCATCGAACGTTCTTCTGAACATGGTTCCGTCTTCGGACAAGATAAACTGGGCTGCCTTCGTACGCAGGGCCCTCGATTCTTTTGGATCCAAGGCAATTTTTCGGTTTTCAGATATTCTATATATTTTTTTCTTCGGTCCCAAGTCAGGCTTATAGAGTTTATCTCAGCGTGGCCCTCTTCCACTACCGATCTCATGAATTGTATGACTGTCCCCGAGTTGAGCTCGTCGTCCTTGACCAACGACCCTAAGTTAGCAAGGGCATCGGCCTCACTGTTTTGATCCCGAGGTACGTGTTGCAAAGTCCACTCCTTGAACCGATGTAATGTTACCTGCAACTTTTCCAGGTACCTTTTCTTTCGTTCTTTTCTAACCTCAAATGTCCCATTAACTTGGTTTACCACGAGGAGGGAGTCGCACTTAGCTTCGATCACCTCCGACCCCAAGCTTTTGGCTAGTTCGAGACCTGCAATCATGGCCTCATATTTGGCCTCGTTGTTAGTCAATTTCACAGTCCTAATAGATTGTCTAACTACATTGCCAGTTGGTGGCTTCAATGCAATGCCAAGTCCAGACCCTTTTGCGTACGAGGCGCTATTGGTAAAGAGGGTCCAGATCCCCGAAGACGCCCCCGATTTCACCAACAACTCTTTTTCGACCTCGAGTATTAGGGCCGACGTAAAGTCGGCCACGAAATATGCTAAAATTTGAGATTTAACGACTGTTCGGGGTCGATATTCAATATCGTACCCGTTGATTTCCACATCCCATTTGGCCAACCATCCCGAGAGCTCCGATTTATGCATTATATTTCGCAATGAGTAAGTAGTCACAACACATATAGGATGACACTGAAAGTATGGTTTTTCAGCTTCCTAAAGGCGCTTAGCAAAGCGAGCGCCAATTTTTCTAGGTGAGGTACCTAGTTTCGGCCTCGCCTAGAGTCCTGCTAACATAGTAAATTGGAAATTGCATGCCTTGCTCTTCCCGGACCAGGACTCCACTTACTGCTATCTCTGATACTGCCAAGTACGGGTATAGTTGTTCATATGTCTTCGGTGTGTGAAGTAGTGGTGGGCTCGATAGATATCGCTCTAGTTTTACGAAGGCCCGTTGGCATTCCGGAGTCCATGAGAAGTTATTACTTTTCTTCAGTAGCGAAAAGAATCGGTGGCTCTTGTCAGAGAACGTCGAGATGAATCGCCTCAGGGCGACTATGTGTCCGGTTAATCTTTGCACAGCCTTCACGTTTTCCACAGCCGTGATATCTTCGATGGATTTGATCTTGTCGGGGTTGATCTCGATTCCCTGGTTGGATACCATGAATCCGGGGAATTTACCTGATCCGACCCGAAACGCACATTTCTCTGGGTTCAACTTCATGTTCTATTTCTTCAATATGTTGAAGGTTTCCTGCAAATGTTTCAAATGAACCTCTGCTCACAGGGACTTAACCAACATATCGTCAATGTAAACCTCCATTGATTTTCCTATTTGTTCCTCGAACATCCGATTTACTAGGCGTTGATAAGCGGCACCAGCGTTTTTTAATCCGAACGGCATCATGTTATAGCAGTATGTGCCGTACTTAGTGATGAAGGAGGTTTTTTCCTAATCATCCGGGTTCATCCGCATTTGGTTGTACCCGGAGTAGGCGTCGAGACCACTGAGGATCTCGTGGCCGGCTGTGGCATCG